GGTCTGAGCTCATCTGAGATGGACTGAGATGGGGGTGTGTTAGTGCTCATGGCGTGGGTAACTGTCACGTCCATGAAGCCATTGATGCTGAAAGCTACCTACTGGTTATGGAGCAGCGTATGCTGCCATCCAAGCAATGCTTTTTTCAGGGACGTCCTGCTTATTTCAGCAAGACAACGCCAAGCCACATTGTGCTCATGTTACAACAGTGTGGCTTCCTAGTAAAAGAGTGCAGGTATGGAATGTCCTGCCTGGTAATATTTTGACCAATCCAACATAAAAAGACAAACAAAAAGGTTCATTTCAGCAGCTAAATAAACATAAATAACTAATAACCATAAATCTTTTAACTTTTATATCACACTTACAGTAAAATTTCACACAGTTCTAATTCTTGGTGGACATCAACTTTTTTTCCCTCAATGTTAACAAGAACACCAATATTAAATTTTCTCCTGGTAAATCTTCTTAACCTTGACAGAGTTAATGTCCTCGTTTCTTTAGTTGTGTTTACAAAGATTTTGCTTTCTATCTTGGTAGTACCATCACTCCTTTACCTGTCCTCTGCTACTCTCTGTCCTATCTGTGTGCCCTAGATCCAGTCTTTTGTGACAGACTCTGCAGGACACAAGCTTCTGGTCTTAACTGGCCAGAGCTCAGATCACGGTGGCCTTCTTCTTCAGACCGGAGTTTTTACCCCTCAGATCTTTTCACAAATCTTTACTGATCCTGGGGTAAGTGTCTGCCAGCCAGCTTGTATGATTCTGAGACAACCATTTTAATGTGCATTCAAACAATTTCTCTATCAGACATTTGGTTGTCTGGTAAATCCTAAAGTTTTAATATCAAACAAACACTTAGCTTTTACATTTATCTGTGCCATAGTTGACTTAGTTGTGCTTTGCTGTGTCTTGTTGCAGGTCAGTGAGTTGCTGGGAACAGCAGCCCCCAAGCAGCAGGCAACACTTACTGTGTCCTGCCGCGGGGAGGTGGGCTGGAGCTCCGTGGGACAGCTGCAGGCTCTCAAACAGTTCTTGGAGTACAAGCTAAACCCAGAGCCTGTTCTCCCCAAAATGGAGGGCATCACAGAGTTCACAGAGTATGTCTCTGAAACTGTTGACGTACCTTCGCCCTTTGACCTCCTGGAGCCTCCCACCTCTGGGGGCTTCCTAAAGCTCTCGAAGCCATGTTGCTACATCTTTCCCGGGGGTCGAGGAGACTCCGCACTCTTTGCTGTGAATGGATTCAACATCTTAGTGGATGGAGGCTCTGAGAGGAAGTCCTGCTTCTGGAAACTGGTGCGTCACTTAGACCGCATCGACTCAGTTCTCCTCACACACATCGGAGCTGACAACCTCCCCGGTATCAACGGTCTCCTTCAGAGGAAGATAGCGGAACAGGACGAGGAGCAGTCTCAAGGCTCCACCAACTACAGCGACTGGATGAAGAACTTGATTTCTCCTGAGCTCGGCGTTGTTTTCTTCAATGTGCCAGAGAAGCTCCGTATGCCAGAATCAAATCTCAAAGTGAAACGCAGCATTGAAGAGGCTTCACTGACTTTGCAGCATCTTAACAAACTGGGAATCAAGCCAGAGCCTCTTTTCCGAGTGGTCAGCAACACCATTGAGCCTATTACCCTTTTCCACAAGATGGGAGTGGGGAGGTTAGACATGTATGTTCTTAACCCCGTCAAAGACAGTAAGGAGATGCAGTTTTTAATGCAGAAGTGGGCTGGTAACAGCAAGGCCAAAACGGGCATTGTGCTGCCCAATGGTAAAGAAGGAGAAATATCTGTGCCCTACCTGACATCAGTTACAGCCTTAGTCGTCTGGCTTCCTGCCAGCCCCGCCGAAAAGATTGTCCGAGTGCTGTTCCCTGGAAATGCACCGCAAAACAAGATTTTAGAGGGTCTAGAGAAATTAAAGCATCTTGACTTCCTGCGATACCCTGTAGTTACACAAAAAGACATCACTTCAGGAGCTCCACCGTCAGTTATTAAACAAACTAAGTTAAAACAAAGGACGGATAGCAAAGAGAGCCTCAAATCCTCCCCTAAAACCATTGCAAAAGTCTCAAAGAAGGAAACAGAAGGACAAGATGATGCGTCAAACATCACGGAGGCAAAGAGTGACTCTGTGAAGGAAAATATTTTAGAGAAAAAAGAAGAGAAAAAGCCAACCAAGACTATAAAATCTAAAACCGAGGTGACGGAAAAGAAAAAACTCTTGAAAGAAAAATCATTAAAAAAGCATTCCAAGGAAAGGACGTCAAAACTGGATGAGAAAAAGGACAAGGAAAAGAAAGAAATAAAGAAAGTAAAGAAAGATGACTCTGCCAAAAAAGACGAGAAGAAAGACGCCAAGTCAAAGGAGGACAAGAAGAAGGACGCATCCAAACCCGAGCTGAGAAAGATGACAAAACCTGATTTAAAGCCACTTACACCTGAAGTGAGGAAGACGTTACATAAAGCTAAAGCGTCGAGTAAAGCCAAAACTGTGAAAAGCAAAGCAACAAAGGCTGAACCTGCTGAACTCAAAGCTGACGAGGCAAAACCTGAAGTTATTCAGCCTGAACCTACAGAAAAACAAACTGCTGGAGGCATGTCTGCTACTTCTACGCCTGAAGACCTCACCAAGGCGTTTGAAGAACTAAAAAAAGACGAAGTTGATGCTGTGTCAGCAGAGCCACAGGAAAGTAAAGAAGTTTCACCTGGACCAACAGCACAAAGCCTTATCCAAGAGAAGAGTGAAGCACAAGAAGCTGTTTCAGAAATCCAGCAGGAAACAAAATCCCCTGAAAAGGGGGCCTTAGCTCCAGCTGTAGGTGCAGATACTGACTCCCAAGTGAAGGAGTCGCCTGAAGAGGAAGAGATGGAGGAGGCTCAAAAGTTTGAGGATGAGGGAGCAGCATCGCAGGATGAGGACGAGACAGAGGAAGAAGCATCAGCTGCAGAAAAGAAAGTCATGGAGAAGGAGGAAGAGGAGGAGGAGGAGGAGGACATGGGAATCGGTGTAGATGAAGATGAATCAAAATGGAAGGAGGTGAAGGATGATGAGTTTGACAGAAAACACGAGCTAGAAGAAATGGAGAAATCAGAAACTCTAGCTGCAAAGGCTGTGACATCGCAGGAGCTTCAGATGCCTCTATTCAAGGGTGAGAAGCAGGAAGAAGAGGAAGAGGAGGAGGAAGAAGAGGAGGTGATGGAGAAAGCTGAACTGGAAGAAGTGGAAGATCTAGATGTAATAGCTGATGAAGAGATCAAAGTCCATCCTGAAGATGCAGCAGACAGCAAAACCAGCGAAATCCTGGCTGCAGCTAAAGTTGAAGAAGAGGAGGATGAAGATCGTTACCTTTCACATATCGAAGGGGCCACTGCTCCCATCAGCTCCGTAATTCAAGGCACTGCAGCAGGAGAACAAGTCTCCTACATTCAGGACGAGATGATTCCTGGCTACTCTGAAACAGAGCAGACCATCTCTGATGAGGAGATTCATGAGGAGGCGGAGGAGAGAATACCACACCTTCAGTACGATGTGGGCGCATATGACATCTCTGTTCCAGATCAGACGGGATCCTTCGTAGACATTCATGGCATGAAGGAAATGCAAGCTGCTGCTATGACTGAGAAAGGTTTTATTCCAGGTGTCCAAGAACAAGTGTCGGTTTTCACCAACATCATCACCGCTCCTCTGGCAGAAGAAGAACACGTGTCTTCTGCAACCTCCATCACCGAATATGACAAGATGTCCTCCTTTCCTACTTCTATTGCTGATGATCAGTCTGTTGCATCGGTTGCTGCACCTCTGGCTGAGGAGCCACCTAAAACATCTGCAACTTCATCAGTGACGCCAAACTCTAGCCAAGGCAAAGAGCAGCCGCGCTCTGCAGGAAGTCTATCACCACCTTCTTTAGAAGACGACAAACTATCAAAGTCTCCATCTGACTTACAGCTTCCTATTGTGGAGGGGAAGACTGCTGCTGAGGTCCCTGTTGCAGCAGAAGAAGAGGAGGAAGAGGATGAGGAGGAAGAAGACCAAACTCCTAATGTTGACATTCCACTTACAAAACTCCAAGAGGGCTATGCTTCATCCAAAACCCTACATAGCAAAGAGGCAAACATGGAAAAGAGTCCAGGTTCTCCTGAAAAGGTTCAGTATGACATCAAACCAGTTCACCTGCCAGTTGAAGAGGTAAATATCGATGCAGTAGCTCCTAAAGACACTTCCTCTGTTGTGCCTACGAGACCATTTGGATCAGATTCCGTCACATCAGAGAGCGAGGAGCGTTGTTTCAGCCCGGATGATATCACTGTGAAAATGGCTTCCCCGCCACAGTCCGGACGCTCAAGTGCAGCTCACTCGCCACTCCACCACTCTCCGGTGGAAGACAAGATGAAGGTTTTCCTAGATTTGGAGCAGCAAAAACAAGAGGTTCTTCACGATGTGGTCACAGCAAAGGATGACGAGATAGATCAGGAAGACCATGAGGAAACAAAAACCCAGAAAGAAGCCGATTACAAGGAAGAAGGTCAGCTTGAAGCAGCAGTTTCAAAATCTGATGACATGAAAAAGGTTCTGGTAATGGAAGAAACAGAGAAAGACTCATTAGTGCCAAAAGAGGACGACAAAAAAGTAGAAACAATACCTGCTGCTGCTTCATCTTTAACAGAAGCAAAGCTACCTGTCGAAGACTCAGACACTGATTTTAAGGAGGAGGAACCAAAAGTGCCTTCACCACCAAAAATTCCAGGGAGGAAAAGTAGCTTCAGGTACGATGATGTCGATAATGATTATGATGATGACAAGAAAGATGATGATAATGACAAAACTACTATTAAAAGCATCTGTGTGGAACCAGAGACAATAAAGGATGACACTTCAGATCTCAAACAAATCAAGGACGAACCTAAAGAGAAAGCTGTCATTCAGGTAAAGGTTCCAACAGCTGAGTCTTTCATAGACGAGAAGGCAGATGAACATGCAGGAAAAGAAGATTTAGATATTAAACCTGCCAAAGAAGAAGAAAAGGAAGAAGCAAAGGACACAGTCACTGTAGGCAAAGCTGTTAAAGAGGCCAAAGAAACAGAAAGAGAGGACACTCTTAAGATGACAACAACTCAACAAGCAGAAAGGGAAACTGTAACTTCTGAGGCCAAACAAATAAAGGATGAGCAAAAAAAGGAGGAAGAAATACAAGAGGATAAATCTGACCTCAGATCCAAGGAAGATTTTCATGGGATGGAGTCTAAAATCGATGATGTTCCTGACAAAAAAATCTCAAAAGAAGAAACTATCACTGAGCTAGAAAAGACTGATACCTTTCAAGATTCAACTCATGAAAGAGAAACTGAAAAGGATCAGCCTTCAGATACTAAATCGGCTACAGAAGAGGTGATGGAAGATCAAAAGAAAGATGATAAGACCATCACTGAGCCTTCCAAAGATGAGAAGGAAGAAACATTAGATGTCCAAGCAAAAGAGGACACAAAAAATGAAAAACATTTGGAAGAAAAGGATCTGTCTGCTTCTAAGTCCTTCACAGGTGAACAGAGCAAAGAAGAAGAAGAAGCAACTGCTGACATTGTTATTAAGTTTGGAAAAGAAGACGTTAGTCAGATGGATGAACCTCCTGTTACCATGAAAGAAGAAGCAGGACAAGAAATTAGTAAGGATGTGATCTTCCCCATCAGCCTCTCTGGTGTGGAGGAGAAAGAAGTGACAGTGACTAAGGATGAGAATTTGTCAGCGAAGACAACAATTTCCCCAGAAAAGGACAAAGTCCCATGTGGAGAAGATATTACTGACATGAAACCTTCCAAGGAAGAAAACAAAGATATAACATCAAGCAAGGATGATGCACATGTCCCAGAGCAGGATGAGGACAGGAAGTCAGAGGAAAGGGCTGAACAACAAAGTACAGAGGAAACTCCTGCTGTTGAACGAAAAACTGGAGAAAAAGAGGACCATGATGAAAGTAAAACCACAGCTGATGCAGTTCAACATATCAAGATGGAAGAAGAGCCTGTAATCACATTAATTTCAAAGGCAAAAGAAACACCTCAAACAGAAAGAGAAAGTCCAGGAGGAGAACAGGAACAAAAAGCAAGTATAATTTCCACTTCTGCTGATGAACCGGCTCATATCGTGAAGCAAGATGTAATTAAAACCGAGCACGAGCCCACTGTCAAAACACTCAAAGAAGAAACAATTGTGGAGGATGTTATTAATGTAGCTGCACATGCCATGCAGGATGAAAAAGACAAAGAAATCTGTAAAGATGTGAGTGCTGCTGAAACGACAGCAGAAAAAAAAGAGTCGACAGTAGACAAGGAAGAAACACTCACTGTCAAGCTGTCCTATGAAGAACAAATGACAATTCATGATCATAGTGTCACTGACAAGCACATCAAGGATGAGAAGGACACAACTACTGATGCATTTTCTGATATAAAACCCAGTGAACTTAAAGAAACAAAAGACCCAGCTGTTGTGCACCCCCTCATAGAAAAAAAGAAAGATGAAGTCAAAGATATTACGTCATCAGAGGAGTCAAAAGAAACATTACCAGGAGATGCTGAGGAAATTAAGCTCAAAAAAGACGATGAAAAAATCACTATTGCTGAGCATGCACCTGTTAAGGAACAAAAAGACACAGATAGTTCAGTGAAAACTGCTAAAGAGGACAAAGACAGTGAAAAAAGAGATGTTTCTGATGAACAAACTCTGAGTGACAGCAGTGAGAAGGTGGACTTTGGTGACCAGAAATCAGTTTTGGAGCAGATGAAGCACACTAATGATCCCAGCGATGCAAATAAAGCAAAAGACACTGCTACTACCACTGACACAAAAGACAAAGAGACACCCAAGAGTGAAACATTCAAGGAGGAAAAGGTTGAAGTCGAACAGGACCATCAAGGTGAGCCAGTTAAACAAGAATATGTAACAGAGACATACACTCCAACATCTAGCACCACAGAAGAAGAAAAAGGTGAAGACTATTATTTATTTGATTCAAAATCCAAAATGTCTGGTGTGGAAGAGGTAGCTTTTCCAAAGAAAGAGGAGATGAAACATGTTAATGGTCAGGCCACATATGGAGATCCTTTTGAGAAGCTACCTGGAGCTCAAACAGAGAAGGAAACTACCTCAGGAGAAACACAACAAGAAGCATTAGTGAAAGATGACTTCTGCATGTCTTCCCACCACATTCAGGAAGAGAAAAAAGACAAAGACTCCAAGGGCATTAGTCAAGAAGAAAAGATGGAGACAGAAAAAGATGATGCACATGTGGCTGAACTGAGCAAAGAACAGAAAATGGAGAAAGAACAGGAAAAAGATTATACTTATGAAGACATCAAAGACGAAAAAACAAAACCAGCTGAGGATGACAAGATAATTAAAGAAAAGGATGTGGCTCTTGAGAAGGTAGATGACATGACACAAAAAGAAAAGTCTGATTATATAGATGGGGATCACACCAAAGAGGAGAAATGGGAGAAAGAGGAAGTTCAGGAGAAAGACCAGGACAAAGGTGTTAAACAGTCTACTCAACCATCATCAGGAGAAACAGTGTTGCCATCCAAGTCAGATTACAAACCTGCATTTGTGGTTCAGTCATCAGATGAAGACAGAGAAGAGGATGAAGAGGAGGATATTTGTATGGGAGGAGCAGGTTCCAGACCTCTGTCTGTGGAGTCAAAAACTCCGGACCATGACTTTTCCTCTGTTTGTTGGACTTTAAGTCAAACTCCACAAACAAGTGATCAAAGTAAACCACCTATGTCTCAGCAGCCCACTGTAATAATACCTACTCTCAAAATGCAGGAGCCCTCTGTGGATGAAGATGTCAAGGAGTTTGGAAAAGAAGAACCTAGATTTTCACCTGAAGCAGAAAAAGTTGTTGTGAGAACAGGATCCACGCCTGAACCACTTACCAAGCCAGAGTCGTCTTTTGATGTTGTCACATCAAAGAAAGAAGAAACTGTTTGTGATGTCACAGCTGCCAAAACAGAACCAAAATCAGAACCAACAGAGAAAAAGCCTTTGTTGTCAACACTATCGAGCACTGAGAGCCAACAACAGAGCTCCACGCTTTCAAGCACCGAAAGCCAGTCCAGCATGGAGGAAACACTGCAACAAGAAAAAGAAGTCCCGTCTCACATGAGCTCAGGATTAGAGGCTGCGGGGGAGACGATGCTTGATGGGAAACCAGAAAAGGAAGCAGAGAGGGAGACAGAAGGAGAAAGAGAGGCAGCTTCTCCAGAATTATCACAACCTTGTTCATATTTTATGTTAGACAAACAGGCTGTTGATGCTAGTCACACCACTGGCTCTGCAAAAACAGACACTGATGAAAAAATGAGCTCGAATAGAGATGTCATCGGTGGAGGCCTCGGAAGTGAGGCGCAACCCTTTGGGGCATCCAAATATGATCCATACGAGAAACCCGTCCCAAAAGACCATGATTTAGACTCGAGAGAAGAGGGTGAGGCCGCACATGGTTTTGATAATGCTTCTGACATCTGCATTGATGATAACCGAAGAACAAGCCAAACCGAGACCGGAGGAGCCACGTTCCTCCTGGACGATCAGTACAAAGAGGAACCTCTGTCCTTCAGTAGAGTCGACTACAGCCCTGAGTCCCTCCCAAAGAGCGAAAAGAGCATGCAGCACAGTCGAAGTGAGTCCCCAAAGAATGAAGTCAGAGAAAAAGGCCAAGAGGAGGAGAGTGAAAGAGAAGAAATAGCAGCCACATCATCTGTTGACAACAGCTACTTATCCTCAAATATACAAGATAATAAAATGTCCCAAGCTGATGAATCCTGTTATTTTAGCCCCAAAGAGGATAAACCTGAGAAATCTGAGAAAGAGAAAGAAGACATGAGGGAAGAACCTGCAGCACATTCTCAAATACATCCAATGGGAGGAGATGACATCATTTCAACTACTGCCATTCAATCAGCAGCTGTGCCACAAGAAGCAACCTCTCCCTCACAGAGCCACCCAGATCTCAGTGCCTCAGCTTCCAGTGAAACTTTTGGGGAAATTATGGAAAAAGAGAAAGAAAAGTCTACTGATCTGCTAAAAGACAAAATGGAAACCTCTGATCATTCAAGAGAGGGATCTCCATCTGGTCGGCATTCACCTGCAGAAAAGGACATTTTACTTCAACAGGCGTCACTCTTACCAAGACAAGAAACACCATCTGCATTGAGGTCTGGAGCTTCAGCGACATTAAGACATGAAATAGACGATAATGTTCTGGTATCTGATAACAGTCAAATTAGCAGCTCTGCCTCTTGTAAATCTTTAAGTTTTCCAGAGGGAAAAGACAGCATGATGGATAAACGGCTACTGGTGGAGGGGGAAGATTTCAGTGTTGACGACGATGAAGATGACGAGGAGGAGGAAGACGAAGAGGAAGAGTCAAGTGATGTGGATGTGGAAAAGGGTGCCAGAGAACTGTCCGAAAAAGAAATGTGCAGACGTAGTTCAGACAATGATGCGACTCCAGCAAAAACAGAGGACTCTAATAAAATGCCTCAGCTGCCTGAATCAAGTTTCCTGAAAGAGCAGCCGACCTGTAAATCAACTCCTGATGATGCCTCAGCTTTTCAAGTTACAGACACAGACAAGAAGGATGTAGGTGGGAAACCGGAGGATACACTCAGAGCCATGACAGCGAAACCTCTTGAGACGAGTCAAGACGTAGGAGGAACAACTCAAAAAGAGGAAAGTAGTTTTACATCAGAGCCCCCAACATATTTAGACAAAATGGAAGCAGATGAAAAAGACAAAACAGATTTTTCCCCTGAACCCATTACAAAGACTAGGTTGCCCATGACAGAAGACGTTACTTCATCTGAAGCAATAAAATCAGAAAATAAAGATGAAGACAAAGTATCACTTTCATTTGAGTCTAAATTTGAGACAAAGGAAACCTGCCAGCCAACATCTACGACCACTTCTTTGCCAGCTGATTCTTCTGACTTAATGTCCAAGCCTACATCTAGTCCAGTGTCTACTCTAACTGGTAGCTATGCTGATATTGGACTGAGCAGCTCTGGAGAGCATTCTGAGTATTTTCACAGTGAAGGTAGTCACGTTGAACTAAAAACAGAAAAGACAGAAACCTGTGTGCTCTCAGATGCTTCCAGGCTGTCCAGGTCAACCGATGATCAATACTGCAGCCAAAGACCCGTACAAGAAGAAGGCTTGAGTGAGAGGTGGACTCCTGATAGAACAACAGAACATGAGGAAACTGCGTACTCAGGTGGCACATACACTACCTTAACATACTCTTCTTCAACATACTCTACATCACACAGTTGCTCATCTCCTGCCTCAGTGTCTGCTCTTGGCCCACACTTTGGAGACAAAGTTGACACTTTCACAATCCCAACCTCCAAATTACCTTTAGCCAAAGAGGAGATTTCATTCACAGGAGCGTCCACAAGCTCCTCCTGCTTCGGAGGTTTTCAGAGAGACGAGTATATGGAGGTGGTGTCCAAACCATCATTTCAAGATTCATCCAGCACTACCAAGCAGTCTGAGGATCAAGAGCCAAAACCAGATACAAAACTGAGCACTGAGATTGCAGCATCCTCCCCAGAACGTCCTCTAACAAGTGCAAAACCATTAAATGTGGAGGACGGTTCCTTTCTATCAGAAGCTTGCTATGATGCGTCTCCTGTCCAAAGGGCTGACTCTTCTGACCGGGAAACCCATAAAAAGGAGCCCATAACACTTGAAATGGAAGTCAGCACTCTACCATGTCGTACTGAATGCCAAAAAATCAAAGTGGCTGACCAAAAAGAGACTTTTCCATCAGTAACTGAGTCCTTTTCAGTGAAGAGTACATTTCACTCTATAGAAAAGCAGGCAGTCACCATCACTGCTACTACTGTTGTGTCTGAAACAGACGGGATCATGGAAACAACTCAGCATACAGTCTCAGCCACCCCACTCAGTGACAGTGAAGCTACCAAACCTTTGTGTGCCATAACAGGCTTGCACAAAACCGAGGAGTATAAGGAGAAAACACTTCAGATAAACAAAGAGAAAACTGACGGAGCTGCCGAGTCTTTGACAAAAGGTGCCAGCGTGGTAGAGAAAGAAACAAGTGGGAAAGATGAAAAAACTGAGACAACAAAAGACATGGCAGCCAAACAGACAACAGAGGCTAAGAAGCAGAGTGAGAAATCTCGTGAAGACACCACAGAAGAGAAAAATGCAACAGGTGATTCCAAGCTGAGTGAAAAACGAGAGATCAGTAAAGAAGAGATGGACAATGTGGAGGTGAAAAGATTGTTAGAAACAACATCAGAAAGATTAGAGGTGAGGAGAAAGAGCAGTTTATCTGATTGGGAGCTTCTACAGAGGCCCGATGACTACCCAAGTACCCCTCCACCTGGTTATGGTGATGGTGATGATGATGATGATGATGATGATGAGGAAGAAGCAAGAAAATGGATGGGCTGTTCCCAAGGTATGTCCATGTCCTCAAAAGATGCTTACCACACAGAATCATCAAGCAAACAAGACGTAAAGACGGATCGTCCCGCTGATTTAAACACAGGAGCTTCGTCTTCTGCCTCCACACAAGGCTACTCATCCTGTGAGTACAAACATCGCAAAGGAGAACTTTCTCCATCCTTCATCAACCCAAGCCCTCATCAGTTCTCCAGTGAAGAAGGCGAAGAGAGCGGCAGCAGTGATCACTCCCAGGATGGAAACGAGGATGATCACGAGCAACACTCTGTGAAGCGGAGGTCGCACAAGCAAAGGCGCCACCACACTCCGAGTCATGGAGACGCTGGACACGGACCACAGCAGCTGCCTGGTGCAATGTCATCTGGTTTGGCCGTTACACTAGCTGGGGAGGAAACCCCTCCAACATCAGTAAGTGAGTCAATTCCTTCACAGTCTGACTCTGACGTCCCTCCAGAGACCGAAGAGTGTCCATCCATAACTGCAGAGGGAAATCTGGACTCTGACGAGGATGCTGAGCATCTGCCAGTAGACAAATTATCTGCCTCCGGAGGAGGGGTGGCCCACCATCCAGCATCACCGCGGTCATCTCAGAAAACCCATGATCCCTTTCCTGCCCCTATGAAGGACCCTCTGCCTCACCCTCCCCACCCGGACGTCTGCATGGTCGACCCAGATGCTCTCCTCAACGATCACAGTGGCACAGAGAAACTTCTCAAGAAAAAAGGACTGAGGAAGGGCAAACCCAAGTCAGCCTCTCCTGCTCGTAAGGGAGAAGTCAAGAAGAGGTCTTCTACCCCAGTGAAGCAGACCAAGGATTCTGCCTCACCCCGATCGGCCTCCCTCAGGAGGAAGGACACAGAGAGAGCCTCCAGGCTGATCAAAATGTCTGAGAGCCAAGGCTCAAGGAGTGAGCTCATCAACCCTGGAAAAGGGCTGGTCAATGGCATCAAGACCAGTTCAGGTGAGTTAACAGCCTTGATTTCTGTAGCTCAAGTTGTGGGGAGTGATCTCTCTGTCTATCGTTTGTCATTGTACCTTTGTCTTCTTCTGAACACAATGTCTGCAGCCAGTTTACACCTGCCCTGCTAAAATGCTAAATATAGAAGCAAAAACAGCAACCACAATCAGTTTTAGGTTTGATAAATCAGATTGCGATCGTTAAATGATTTCCTTTGCATAACCTCCCAGGTGTTTTTTTGCACATTCTAATAATCATCATATATTTTGCATTTTCATGAAGGCAAATGCTTTCTGCTATTTTGCTCATTTGACAGAGATTATCCTCCGTTAGTAGATCAGCTTTGCACACGCTTTCAAGTTTGCATGTGTTTTTATGCATGCAAAACTTTAGTAGATCAGTCCCTAAGCCTCAAATACTGTGATTAAATGACATCAGTCCTTACTGATAAACGTATTCAATATTCATAGTCCCAGGGTTATATTAGAAACATTCCTCAAATGAGAAGCAAAATGTTTTTATAAAACAAAGAAAATAGTCCATTTGTCTTTAAATTGGAAATAAAACCTCCTATGTTTGTCACAACCTGGATGACTGAGAATCTACACCCACACATAACGTACCCTGCAGCTGGTGAGTACTTGGTGACTGTAACAAGAAGCCTTGCAGCCAATGGCGTCACTAGGCCTATTCTAGGGAGGCTGGAGCCCCCCTAAAATATTTTAAAGCCCCCCTAAATTATTTTGGTGTAAAATATTTTTTTAAATTTATTTATTTATTTATTTTTTTACAAAAATTCAATATGATGTGATCAGAATAAATAACCATTTAATATTTCATTATTAACTAAAATATATGATCATAAATCTGTCAGTTTCCCTTTAATTTATAAAGTAAGGCAGAGATCCTCTTTGGTGCGTTGTTATTCAATCCATTCCACTTGTTCATATAGAGTACTCCCACACCACATGAAATCCAGTCCATGTTTTTCCTGCAACCTTAATAGCAGCATGCTAGCATGTTTACACACAGAGCCAATTAAGTGCAGCATGAAAGCTCAGTGAGCAGACCAGGAGAATGCTCAATGAAAACTGGATATAAGAAAGTTTTTCAAAAAAGTAAGTATTAATCATCATTGCTGGTAGTAACCATAAACATAAAGAGTAGATAGACGAACCGCAAATGCTGCTGTCGAGCCGCGGGGCCGCCATCTTGGAAAAGTCATTTGCTCAATGAAGTATCAGCCTGTTTCATCAATCATAACTTGCTGAAAACTAAAATGTTTTACACACTTTTTTTTGCTGGAAACTCTAAACCTACAGCTATCAAAGCTACATGTATAAGAAGAATACATAGTTCAACTTATTTAAATATTCTTAGTAGGGTTAACTGTAATACACTATCCAAATACGTATATTATAGAAAGCATGATGATGAATTAAGGATTACAATATGAATAAAATAAGCATGAATTTATTTATGTTGTACGCAAATATGATGATAATATTTCAATATTTTGATGCATATCTGTTGATAATGGACCAAAGCTGCAGAAATTGTTAGTAAGCTTGTTTGAAATTTATTCCAGTCAGATGTTGTGTTTGTGTTGGGGATGAGACATCAGAGATGGGGTGAAAGAATTACAGTCTGTGACACCTGTGGAAAGTTTACTGGAGAATGTCACAGCAGTAATAACTTTTACTTGTACAGAAGCATTCTTGTGTCAGTTAATCTAAACCAGTGTTAGAGAATAACAGAGAGAATTTATATGATCTCAGTTCATAGTCGAGTAAACACCAGCACTAAACATTATAACTAACTTTAGCTGACATTTAATACAGTTTACTTATAGTAATGTTAGTAATATAGTATAGTATAAATTAATACTATACTGT